TTATTATCACTAGATACGTTTAACAGCCTTACCGTATTTTCAATTCGAAGGTTTTGGCTTCCAATCTTGCAGTTTCCGGTCCGTAGAAGCACTAATACAATGTACTATATATATTTATATTTATTTATTATTTTTTAATTATAAAAAAAATATAAAAATATGATTATACTTGTAAAACCTATAATTGTACCATAAGAATAATTCCAATAACCTAGCATATAAAATTTTAGTTATTTAAATTGGGTTTAAAAACTGATTTAAAAAAAAACTTTAAAAAAATTACCTGTTTTTAATTTTTTTAATTCTTTTTTATATTTTCTTCCAATAACCTGTGCAATTTTTTTATCAATCTCATTAACAAATATAAGATGAACATCATCCTTATTCTTATGCCAATTCAATCCATTAATAAAAATAGCACTAATAACTGTTGATTGTTGGTTTTCATATTTTTTTAAAGCCAACATTTTATATTTTAATGCCTGTAATCCAACAATCTTTCTGGCCATATTCCTGGCTTTTCGAGCTGAAGATCCCGTAATTGTTTTCATATGTTTAACTTCTACTACACAAAATATACCAAAATCTGAAGCAAATATAAAATCACCTTGACCATAATGTGGTTTGTTAAGAACATAATTCCATTCAAAAATATAAAGATATTTGAATCCTGGAAGATATGTTGATAAATTTTTGAGAAGTTGAGATTTTAACTGATGTTCTTTGGCACTAACGTCATTATGCATTGACCATTTGCATATTTGTTTCTTGTGTCTCTTGTATAAATATTCAGTGAATGGTACATACCATTTTGAAGATATTTGCAACAGTTTTCCAAGTAATTCTTCTATATTAGGAGTCCAATGAAATATTAATTTATTTGGTCTCTTTGCGGTTCCGTCATATTTTTCATAAAAGAGTTTATTGGATTTAATTAGCTCTTTGAATTCTTGATCAATATAATATTTTACATCTTGATAATTAGAAATTTGATTGTGTGTCATTGGTTTTCGATCATAAAGTAATTCGGCGCGATTATGTTCCATTTGAATACCACTCAAAATTTTCTTGCATACTTGAAGAATCACGTTTTGCTTATCCTTATTGTAAGCATAAGAACTATTCTTGAACGATGGGATACTACAATCCAAACATTTACAATTGTAATTAATTAAATTGGCGTTGATGTTTTTTTGTAAAGTATTTGATGGATTTGATGAAGTTGTAGTTGAGACAATTTGCTTCCCCTGATTTAAATGATTGATGTATTTTAAAGTCACTCGTTTTGTTGAGGAAGAGATTAAATCTTTGATATACATGTTCATGTTAACTTGTTATTATCAACGGGGATTTTTTTTTGTTTAAAAAAAAAATTAAGATCTGTGTTGCACAGAGATGGAGAATGGATTAAGATCGTAGTTTTTATATTCGCGTTTACTAATTTCCCCAAAGTTTCTGATTCTGGCCAATCAGAATGCATGATCAGGTGTAACGTTAAGTTCAAAATTTCGCCTAAGAAATCACCTTTTGGGCACTAACAAAACAAAATTCCTTGCAAAATATTGCCCACTAACGCTAGCCTCAAACCCTAACTTAGGTGTCACATTTTAATCAGAAAATGACATGTAAACTGGTGCGAATAATCCCAGCCAATAGAAACTTTTTGGGGAAATTAGTAAATGTCTAATTATCACGGGTAATCGCGGAGACAGATGAAAAAATTAGGTAAAAAGGCAAATACTTTGGGAATTTGCTTAATAGTGGATATATTTTTCGTACTTTTTAATTGAAAATACCTGCCTTAAGATCCCTTGTGATGCCTCCGCGCTCTATTACAATCCCTGAGTACGAGATATTTTGAGAGAACGCGACAAATACAATAAATGGTTGGTTTTATTAATATCTTTTAAGATAATTGATCTGCAACCGAATATAGAATTAGGAAATATACATTTTCTTTGAAAGATGGTAAGCTTGATTTAATGATATATAGGTAGCTACATTTTGGCGCGCTGGATTTATAATCTCCCCTTTTTTTTTAAAGCTCATAGTTCATTGATTCCTTGCCCGGCAATTAAAACGGGCTATATCACTGTGGACACGGGATTAATACCTTAGCTATTTCAAAAGAATATGTATTCAACGAAGAAACTGTAGTGTTATTAGCCTTTATTGGTTCGTGGTTCTCTATCGTAGGTTCAGACAGCCCTTCAATGATTAGGTTGAGGGAAAAAGAATATAGATTACATAGTAAAAACTGATAAAAGGAATTTAGCAATGATAATTTGCAAAGATGTTCTATTATTGTAAATTTGAATAAAGCGTGTCAATAGCATCCTCGATCAAGCTCAGGAAGATCATAAAAACGTGTTAAAGAAAGAATTGACACGATTGGTTAGCTAGGAGACATTGTTGATATCACAAAAGTATGTTTGCTATGTCCAAGGTAACTTGTATTATCCGGGAGTACAATACTATGCTTTCTTTGAAATGTTTACGAAGGAAACTGCAAGATTGGAAGCCAAAACCTTCGAATTGAAAATACGGTAAGGCTGTTAAACGTATCTAGTGATAATAA